GATGCATTCTACCCTTAAATAGAAGATATAAATTTATTTAAGCAATGTCCTGGATAATAAAGTTCTTTTTTCATTTATTTATTCTCCCCATTTGTAGCCTGCCCATAAAGCTTTCAGTCCATAGACAAGTCAGATATATAAATGTGGTTGTAATCAGCTCTGTAGCTGTACCTCCAGAGTTGTGCCCTGACAGGTTGTTTTGTCAAGTGGTTAGACTTCCACAATAATATCCTTTAGTCAGAGCTCCCTTAAAGTCAAGAATAGACATTAAGTGCTTTCTTGAGACCTAAATAAGCTTATCAGAAACCTTATTCATCACTGGAGTATATAGTAATGTACACATTACTCAGGAAACACAGAAATCCTGTATATGTGATGCATTTTTGTTACTGACAGATGATGACAAAAGATTTCAGGTTCATTCAGTGTTCAGGATACCAAGAATTTGTCATATCTGCTTAAAGGATTAAATTTTAGCACCACATCAAATACTGTTTTACTGGGGTCAGATAATTTGGCTCCATAAGCCACCTTAAAATTATTAAATGCTTCCCTTCATCTCATGCCACTTCACTCTCCAAACTCCATCTGTCCTGAATGACAATCCACCCACTGAACATGGAAAATCAAAGATCTTCTTTCCCATTCATACTGAAATTCCTATTCAGTCTCTCAATGCACTAGATATTAGTCTACTGTAATAACCACATACATCAAATAATACATTATTTTTCTACATTTCAGTACTTCTTATAAATATTTTATTTCTACTTCTCCAACCTAATTTGCAATTCACATATATTTCCTCATAATTCTGTCATATTTCCTTTTTATAGCCATAAGCCATATTTCTATTTTATCATTTCCTTTTAACTACCTTGGAAGACCTTTCTATATTTCAATTACCTGCAGACTTCCAGTCCTGCAGCATAGTCTTAAAATCAAAACTGGAGTATTGATGCACTCCTCTGCATATTAATTCTGATTATTATTAGAATACTATTGGAATATAGGTATGCTGGAACTTTCTGAAGCTTCCTTGACACATCAAGGCTCTCATCTTTCATCTAGTGAAGTCAGTGACTGATCAAAAGCCAGACTGAGCCCACTGTAAGCATATACTTCAGTGTAATGAAAAAGATACTTGCAGTCCTTCACATACTTTTTCCTGAAACTGTTTTGGTGTAAATGTATATTTGCCCTATATACATCCTGCTATTAATCTGAGAAAGCTACCACAGTATGTGCTCTACTGTCCTTTCCAACTTGCATTATTCCACATGATTGTGCTATTTGACAAGGAAGAAGCGTCTTAGGAAGTCATAATAACCTGCAATTTTTTTTATGCCTCTTTTGTTTCTCCTAGTACTGCTAGCAACAATGTGCAAACCTTTGTACAACTGCAATTCCCCCAGTGAGAACTATTTCTGTGTGTGAAATATGGGAAAAAAGTGATCTTCAACCAATTAGATCAGGTCATACAATACAGATGTGGAACTTCATGTATCTGAAAAATTTGTGTTTCCAAAAATTATGAAGTGGTTGAACTGTACAGAACTAAAATCTTGGTAGAACTATGACCGACAAATTTCTAAGTAGCTCCTTATTTCTTTTTAGAGAAAAATGATTACTGTTGACATATTAATTATCATAATAAAAAAATTCAGTTCTATCCCGAAAGGACTTCAAGTCCTGGACTGAAACAGACTACACCACCCAGATATGCAGCAGTAAGAAATAAAATAATCCAGCAATTAAGAAAGTACTAGAAAACAAGATTAATTCAATTTCCTTAAAGGTAAGTAATATTTTCCAAACAATTTAGACTGGGTTATTTAGAGAAAATTATATAGCTGATTTGTTACATCTAGAAAACATAATTGGATTTGACTGCAGAACAACAATGGCTTCTGATTGATGACCTATCTAATTTAATTTGTAAATCTATTTTTGCTTTGCCTTTTTAAAGGATAATTAATAAACATAAAAAGCCACGTGTGCAAGTACAACTTATACAGAAGCTATGTAAACCTGAAACAAAAAATTATACTACAGTTTTTATGGGTCTCAGAAGAAGGGTCAGAGATAAAATCATGTTTAAATAAAGAACATTATAGAAAAGTGAAGGAATTACATAGATCAAAAGAACTTGTAGGAGACAACATGAGAGTTAAATTACTATCTCTTTTCCTTTGAAATCATAGAGAGAGAAATAACCTTTACAAAAAGAAAAATAGTTGTAAAATTTTGATAGAAAAGTATGAGTTGAATGGGAAAAAAAGAAGATTTCTGGTAGTGTGCATTTAGCCTTAACTAAGAAAGCCACCTCAGAAGACAAAGTAGTAAAAACCTCATTTACATTGTCAAGAAAGAGTAGGTGCAGTTTGACTAAAACTAGGTGAGTTCCAGGTTCCTTCATCCTTCTTATAAAGCTGCTAACTATGAGTATGCTTTAAGAAAAAAAGAAAAAAAAAACCCAAACTATACTAACAGAGCCATCCAGTGAAGGTTTTTACTTAACTTTATTTCACAGCATTGTCTCAGGAAAATGTAACTGACCTAAGGGATTCTTAATCTTTCTCAAAAGGCTCTGGCAGGATAAAGCTGCCAGATGTGTCCTTGTACTCTTGTGAACAAGGTTCTTGTAACAGTTCTGTTACAAGAGTATCTTACAGAGATCACATTCCAATTATAAGAAAAATTAAATAAAAGCAAAGGGAAGAAAATTTTGAACAAAGATTTAAATAAGAGAAGTAAAAACCAAACAGATGCTCTTGTTCTATATGCGCAGAGAGGCAGAAGAAGAACCTGTGATGCTATAGATGCTTGGAACAGCAGGGTGAACACTAAAAAAATGGAGAAAGGTTTAACCATGTGCAGAAAGGAATCTGTGAGCCCACCAGAAAATGAGCTTCTTGTTACTACTTGTTTCCCCAGTTCTTTAACAATATGTTCACTTCATCAAGCCTTTCTCTTTCCTTCCTCTAAAGCTCCATGATACACATTCAACTTGTTGGCAGGAGGCATCTCTGTGCAAAAGGACAATAGAAAGCTGCAATTCTAACAGCCCTCTCTAACACAAAATTTGAATCCTTTTTCTTCTTTCCTTGAGTAATAAAGCAGAAAAGAGCTTATGCAGTTAAAAGAAAAAGCAGAACTAGCAATTGTGAGGAAGTATAAGAAGTTAAACTAAACCAGCCAATTGACTAATTTTAAAGTGAGAGACTCTTATTATACAGATATATAACTGCAATATCTCTAAATCAAAAAGTACTACTTCTGATACTATATTTTTATTATATGGGAAATAAATTGATATCTGGATTACTACCCTGTTTCTACTATGCCTTTCTGCTTGGAATAGGCTGCCTACATAAAAAATTACAAGTAAAAATATTACCAAAAATAATCAGTGAGAAGCTGTCAACTTAATCTTTCAGTTTTTATTAATCAAGAGTTTCTTAGACTGACTTATGATAGACTGCTTTTAATAGATGAGCATTAAAAAGCATTGTTCTGAATGAAGGAAAAATAATATACAAAAAATCCCACGTTGCCATGGTAGTCTACAAACGCCCATAATCATACTTTGAAAATTAATTACCAAAATAAATAATTTATTGGACATATTCACAGTGAAGTGCTTTCAAAGAGACACTATTGATTGCTACAGAAGAAAAGAAAATAATTTTATTGTCGTACTACCCTTAAAAAATACATGTGAGAGTTTTATCTCCAAATATACACATCTCCTTTTCCCTTTTTTATATTCAACTTTTGTTTTATTTCTTCTTCCATAATTCTTTTCCTATATTCACCCCAAGGCACCATGATAATAAAAAACAGAAGCTTGAGAAAAATAAACTAAAGAAAAAAATTCTGGTTGATGTTTGACATTATGATTTCCTGCCAGGTTTCATCAGTCATATCATGCCATGTGAAGTAATACAGTCTGATTGATGTTGCTCACAGGGACTCATCACCTTTCATGTGTTTGCTGAAGAATTTAAAGGTATCACACAATCTTTGGACAAAATTAATTCTTATGGTGTCAAATATTTGATTAAAAAATAACGATCATGACATCAAAAACTTATGATTGCATTTCTCACTGGTGGGGAACCTAATTCTTAGCACCATTTATAAGTCATTTTATTTTTTAACTTATGATAGATACTTTGAAATCTCCTGTGTCAACTGTACATTTAAAATTAATTTTCTCAGCATTTAGTATTATGACTAAGTTTGAGCCTTAGCAGGATTCACCATGATTCTTTTTTTCCACGTTATGCACAATGGGGTCCTGCTCTCCTGCAGATTGCTGAATACCTCACTGCCCATGGAAAGCAGTGAATTAATTCCTTGTGTTGCTTTGCTTGTGTGTGTGGCTTTTGCTTTACCTGATGAACTGTCTTTACCTACACCCATTAGGTTTTTTTTTTTCATTTTCATCCTTCCAATTTTCTCCCCCACCCGTACTGGTGGAGGAGTGAGTACAAGCCTTAGTTGCTGGCTGTGTTGAAACTGTAATTTGTATTTCATTACAAACTAATATACCCAAGTCAAGGCAAGGCTTTTCAGCTGAGCCACATGAAATCTTAATTCATATGGAAGTTAGATTTGATGCTATGTATACAGAAAAAATAAAGGCTACCATATACATAATATTTTTTATCATTTTGAAGGAGCATTACCTAAACAAGTGGCACACACACAACAAAACAATTCTTAATGGTAACATATGAAAGCCAAAACACAGTAGGAAGTGCGATTTGTACCACAGTTGATCCTGCAGAGTTTAAATTTAAATCTACCTTTAGAGGAATTGATATTTAGATTATACAGTATCTTTTGGTTGGTCAAACAATCTCTGATAATGAGAAGACGTTTTCTTCTCCAGTGGACTAAAATTTTGTAAAAGATTGATAGTTTAATTACTACTAAAGGTAATAAAAAAAAATATATGTTTACATGCATTCTGAATCTTTATTATTACATACCTGTTACTTTCAGTCTGTCAGCTCCAATGACAATCTCATCTTCATCTGCAGAAAACAATACTCTTCCACTGTCACTTGCTCTCACTTCAAATCTCTTACATTGAGCTTCCACAGCATCAGCTCCTGAAATCAAGGAAGTTATCATTACCTCTAATATATTTTGTAAGAATTAATCATCAGCATAAATTTAATATCCAGAACATATTGAATGCATAATGCTTTATGAAAATATTTGGCTTTCTGTAAGCCTGAGAGATAATTTGCATTATAAAATACTGTTAAAATAGTTTACAGACACAACTGTGAAAAACATCTATTTCAGCATTATGTGGAAATCAACACTAAAATTTAGAATGTACTTAAACACTGAGATCTTGAAATGCCAATTCAGACAGAGCTTTCTGGGATTTGTTCAGTTTAAACCACAGTTTCTTGCCAATGAACAAATAAAGATAACACATGACCCTATTCCATCAAGACATACAAATCAACACCGCAGAAAATGGTATTTTTCATTCAGTTCTCCTGCAAACTTAGAGAATACAATAACAAAAACAACACAACAAAACACCAAAACAAAAAAATCATGGACTAAGATATCAAAATTTATGTCACATTTTATGAAACAATATTCCCAAATGTCTCAAAGCTCAAAAAATCCTAAAATAATTCTGGAATTGAATAGACATATGGATTGATCTAACTGCAATGAAGAAAGTTTGCAGGTACTAAGACTTGTAAATTTACTATGCTTTTCAGTTTACGGGTCATATTCTTACTCTCCAATGTTTTGTGTGCTAAATTGTTTCTGAAAATTTTATTTTATTAGTAAGTGAAAGCAAACATCATTTCTGAAAATGGTGTTGAAAAGCAACCAACTGCAATGGCATGACATGACTAAAGGCATGATACATTATTTCAGGGAATAATAATCTGAATTTTTCTGTATGATCCCGAATTAAATTTGTAATGCATTCCTGGAATAAATCTATATGTGTAAAAATAATGTGGAGGGTATTATGGACAAATAAATTTATATATGTAATTTCATTTTTATAATCTGGTTTAAAAGTTTGTAAAAATCTCCTGCTCCATAATATGTAAGTTTTTAGTTTAATATGCAAATGTATCAAAATATGTAATAAGGAATATAAAAACTGTGATAATGAATTTTGGTCAAGGAATTGCCTTAGCAGCTCATAATTTGCAGAATCAGCTATGGGATCAAAACAATTCCTCTTACTTCCAGACAAAGTCATGTTTGTACTGTAAAAAAAATTCTGGCTATTTTTGATTCACAAAGAAAAAAGAAAATTAAAAAGAATTATCAAAATACTTGTGATGATGCATTTTGTTGAATTTAGATATGTTTATTCTGTAAATGTGTAAAATGGTATTTTTTCCCACTCTCCACCCCCACTGAAGTTTTTTTAAAATGTGTTAATCAAGTTGTTGGCTTTGATTTGAAAAAATACAAAATCTTTGTAAAAACAGGAGCAGATTTCAGATTTCAGATGCAGAGGTTTGGGGATGCCCTTGTCCTGCCACCATACTTATGGTTCAGGAAGACAAAGGATAATTACAAATAACTTAATACTAAATAGTTTCATCTTTATTTAAGAGCTGATGATAGCTTAGCCACCTAAAAGAAAGTGGCATTATAAGTACTGTGACATTACTAATTTACACCCATCAAAGTTGTTAGCTCTGTAAGGAAAAGAAATTAACAAAAAATGTGTCAGAAATCAAAAAGAGAAAAGACCTGCCACATTCTTAGTCATTATATATCACTCTAAGTGACAGCCCATGTTTCAATAACGGCTTTTAAAAACTTGTGATGTATTTAGGATAATACAGGTTTTCATTAAAATTACTTAAATAACAAAGGTCTGGAACTTTTCACTAAGGAATGTGTATATTTTAGATGTTGTTTGTGCTGTTTCAGAATCATAGTGCATAAAAGAACTCCTAGAATTCAGCTAGTCCGAAATACCATTACAGGAAGTAAATAAATTTTAATGCTAAAATAAATGGGCTTTTACTTCATGTTTTACTCAGGACTTAATAATGTATTACTTGGTATTACTTATTGCTGAAATGGTAGTTAGTGTGTTCAAGGCACTTGAGAGATTACTAAAAAAAACATAATACATGCTACATCTGTCTCTTTGACATAGAACCAGGTGTGGATTTTATAAAACTGGTTTCGAAAAGCTGAACTGCCTACAGAGTACTCAGTGATATCAAAATGGAATTCTGTTTAGTTTCATTTTCATTTCCCAGTTGAAATAGGAGCAAGCAGTTGCATTTGCAATGTATTAGGGTATTATCTTAGCTGTAAAGCAAATTGCTGTATTCCAAAAACACTCTACCAACACACACGTCTCATAAACTGTCTGAATCTTTAATAGTACTACTAATAAAAACAATGTCAAGTCTTAGAGTATTATGCATGAACAAAGAAAGTATTTTGAAATTCTAATATCAAACTTGTAGAGCCATCACTATTTTCAGCAAATCATATCTGCTTGAATAATGCATACTTCAGTCCAGAGAATCATGTATGAAAATCTATTTTCTAAATTCTGTTTGGAAAGGTAGTTTTTATCAAACACATGGCTACCAGAAAAGCTATTTAGCTTTTCTACTTCTTACTGTATTGTTCTACTTCATCCTAGACTGGAGCTGGCCACATAATAGCTTTAATCAGGTTCAAGAGATGTCCATGATTAACTCTTTTCTCATCTTGTGCTCAGGAAAACTATTTATGTGTAAATTCAGATGCATAATTCTCAATTAAAGTATTAAGTTTCTGTGAAATTCCTTCATTTAAAGTACATAGGTGAAAAATATATATCATATTCATATATATCTGGTATGTAATGATGGTTTACAACACATGCTTGGTGCACAGCAGCTGTATAATTGAAACTATCATTAAACCAGCTACATTTAAAATGGTACAAAACCTAAAATTGTACACTTTAACTGTAGTGAAGATGCATTAAATGAAATATTGGGCAGTACATGCTGTAAAAATACAGAAAATGATGGTTCTGTAGTCCAGATTAACAGTAATAGAGATTAAATTTCAAAATAAAACCTGTTTTGAATTTGTAGAGAGTTTGACTTACTAATTACATAATATAATAACAATATGAAGAATGCATGTTCCAACATTTTGCATTTTAAAGTGAATGATTGCTTACAATACTTCATTATTATTATTATGCAGAAATAATAATTAAAACCATTATTGCTGTGATAATAAATAGAAATAAGAACCCTCCAGTATTACAAGGTTTAGATATGATTACAAACACTAGCAGCTGTGTCTGATTTATCAATCATCTTCCATGTCCACCTGGCACACAACTAATTCAGACAGAGAAAAAGATAAAAAATCAACAACCTTAAATTAAATACAGGGATTAGAATTCAAATGGAATTACCACAAACTGATCCTTGTAAATAGGAAACATGATAAAGTCCAATATACTTTCTTCTGGTTCTTCAATGAAAAATGGGTTATTTAAATATTTATTAAATGCAGAGTTTTATGGATGACAAAGTTACTTTTATGAGAATGTGTTGATGCTTCTGAGATTGGAGATTAAAGAGAAAAAAAAATTTTAATAAAGATTCAACATTGATCTGGGTCTAAGATCAATTTTTGAGAAGTATACACCTAGGTAATTTTTTTAATATTCATAGGAATGTTAGATATTATGGTATTTTGGCTAGCAGGCATCCTAAAAAAATTTCAGTGAATGCAAGAGCAACTGTGCAAATAAAGGATTCATAACCAGCTGAACAGAACAGAAGCATTGAGGAATTTGGAAAAGAGAACTTTCAGCTGAGAGCAAAACTTCTACACAAGCAATTCACAACAATCAGAACATTTTCTGTGTTCAGTTTGCTGAGGACGGGAAGGGAACATCTACATTATAACCAAAAAGTTGAAAGTAGAAGGTAAAAGACCCCTTGGTTCGCTCTGTCAGTAGTTGGTGGACATGCTGTAGAGATGTCAGAAAACTACTGTTTCTAGGAGAGGTCGATCTTCAAGGTTTCCTATTCTGAATGATTATCTACTCAGACAAGGGAAGCTGCAGCAAAGGCTGGGTGAGAAGAAACAAAGCACACATTTGTTACCTTTTATGGAAGTGAACAATATCAGCTGTCAACATAAATTATTAGCATAGGAATAAGGCACACATTATAAGAGGAAACTCAGTAGAACCATCCGGATCAGGCAGGACACTTCCTTCATCATTACCTGCAGACCCAGTAATATCCATGAAAGATTAGTGATATTACAGGTATAGGACTTTGTCAAATGACATCTGACTGAAAAGTTCTGCCCTCCCAAGCAGATTTTACTTCTAGGAACTTTGTAGAATCATAGAATCATCATTGTTGTAAAAGACCTCTAAGCTCATTGAGTCCAACATTAGCCCGGCACGGTCAAGTCCACTGTTGATATGGTATATCAGATTCACTGAAAAACACATCTGAAATATTGTCTGTCACCTCTGCAATAGATAGAATTCATCCTTCCTGCAGTCTGTCTTTCTGGTGCATCTTGACAGTGGAACCCCAACTGTGAAAATAGGATGTGGGAGTAGCATAGCCACAGCAGCAGACAACACTCTCCATCCTCCTTTCCAGATGAGGCCACAACTACTCAAGAGCAATTCTGTGCTTTTCTGCCTACTATCCCTAACATATGGTAATTTCCATGAGACTCAGAAATTACATGGCTGAACAGACCTTTGGTCTGATCAGATACAGCTGTTCATAATTTCATGAGCTATAAGCTATACTCATGGGGGAATGAAAGCAAAATGTGATCCTTTGCTTCTTGAAAGTTGCTTGAGCTTTAAGTCAATACATTTATTTTACTTCTGTAATGGTTAAAAGGATGTGCATTGTCTAATTTTAGCTGTAATATCTTAATTGCTTATATGGGTCCTTAGATAAGCAAGACACAGGAAGATATGTCAGGCACCAAAATTTATCTGTAGGACTTCACACTGTATTTTTTGCTGTTTATATAATCCCATTAAGGTTAATTTTCTCAAAACATGATCTAGATTCTTGAACTGAGTCTTGTAGCAAGTAAT